CGATGGAGCACTTAGTCAGAAGAACGGAGTTTCGATGTTAGGTAGAATAAACCTTAGCCGAAGCTGGGGTTTAGGCCAGCTGAGGCTCTGCTTAAATACACGTGAGTAATCTAAAAATACTACTGCGCAGTCAGTCCGTGATGATCGCGCCGCGTAATCCGGCTGACTAAAGAAAAGAAAAGAAAAGAAAAGAAAAAAAGAAAAGAATAATCGTAACAAGCCTTTACCTCGTTTTTGTGCTTAACTGAGATAGGTTGAGGCTAGTTCATGCTATGGCTCTATCTCTTTCACATACAAAGACGTGTGTATCAAGCCTCAATTCTTCTATGTACGTACCCACATATTCTCTTTGCATAAACAATGACACAGTGGTGCAGTCAGTTGCCTGCTCTCTGTCTAGGGAGGAATTTTCAGCTAGCATCAGACCTAATTGATAAGAACCACGATGATGTCTCCAAAGCTACACGTCCTCAAATGTTCTGCATGATAGAAGGTCAGGATAATACTGTTTTCAGTGTGGAGGATGCTCTTGCTGGTGATGTGGCCATGGCACAGAAGATCTAAATGCTGAAGAAGCGATGGTCCATTCTGGCATGCATCCTTCTTTTTCTTAAATGTGGCATACTAACTTGCCCTTGTAGAATGCCTAAAGGCTGAGAAAGGCATCTTGGGTGTGACGAGGAAGAATGAATGAATGTTTTCTTCACTTTTCCGACCTCGTTCAGGGACAATACCTCTCCAAGCAATATCTGATTCCTCTTGCTGATGGTGCCATGAAGAAACATTGCAGCACATCCACTGCCAAGAATGATGGTACATACTTTGCTGCTATTCCACATTGGCCCCCATGCTAATCTTCATCTCATGTAAAGTGCATCATGCCGCACTACTCATTCTCAGAGGCTTGCCAAGGCAGCCGCTTTAACCAGCGAGAATGGAACTAGGCGCTGTACTACGAATCCATGGGCATCATATAATCCAATATCGATGCTACCTATAAAGACCACAACCATCCATTTACGTCTGATCTTTCACGATAACAATCATGAGCATCATCGAAGAAACCAAAGCCGCCATTGCCTTATATCTGGCCAAACCGTTGCCACCCTTGCTGAACTGGTCATCAATTTTGATGGCATTGACAGGGTCCATACCAGGATCCTGGAAGTCATGGGAGATGCCATTCATCTGTGACAAGTGGGACTGGACAAATGTGATGAATGCAAAAAAGCCTGCCAGGAGGAGTCAGTGTCTTCCCAGGAACAGGTTGATGTGAAGGTTCGCCGAACGGAAGAAGCAGACCTAGTGTGTAAAGAGGTAGGTAGGATCATTCCCCTCTCGTCCAGCTTGTTACTGACTCCCATGCAGACAACACAGCACCTAGGATACCCTCAACAGCCATCGAGGTACTTCAAGAAAGTCAGGTTCATCTACCCTCACCACCTTTGTCTAGGGCTGATGAATCGCCGAATCCAGTCCAGTACTAGGAAAGTCAAGCAGCCTCTCGACCACAGCAGCATCCGAGGGTGCTGTTCCAGATTCGTCGGCCATTGGTTCTGAGGTGTAGAAACTGCCGTCTTGCTATGCAAATCGAATTGTTTTTATGTGCATGCAATCACTTTGCATCAAACCTGAAATCCTGGCAATCACAAGAACCTCTACACATCTTTCAACATCCTGTTTGCATTGAATGAGGTAGAGCAAGTCCTCGGAACAGGCCAATGTTTGAAGCAGTCACCCTCGATCGGTAAATAAGGAGAATGAGCAAGCTGCATTCTCTCTCATTGTATTGATGGCTGGCGGCACTGGTTCTCCTTATAGGTGTCGCAGTCACTGGAAAGCATCAGAGTTGATGCGAAGTACAACAAGAGTATGTATGATAGCACCTCTATCCTGCCAAGCTCGCCTTTAGAATGGCGAATGAGAAACACTGTCATGAGTCGTAGTCTTTTCTCTATCTGCCCTTGACAGGATGATCTTGGTGGCAGCCCATGGACGTTTGCTTAAGTTGTCGGCTTCCTAAGGCTCTCACAATCCTGGAACTTCCTAAACTTAGATGCCATTCCAATACAGTATTATTACGATGGGTACTACTCATACCCTGAGCTTATCCAGAATCTCATCTACATCTTGTCCAATCTCAATCTCATCTGGTGGGATTGTCGTGACATTCTGTGACACAAGACCATCATTACGTTTTCAAATCCCTTCCTAAAACAAAGTTTTTTTTATACAACTTGAATTGAACAGGTTCCTATAGTGATGGGTAATTGAAAACAAAATTCCTATTTATTTATTTATCCACAAAAATTGTTGACTAAGTTGTCCTACTGAGATGGCTGCCTGGCTCTTTTCCCTTGGTAAGAATCAGAATCCGTCAACCTGAACCCAGAACTGAGTGTCCAAGAACGTCGGTGTCCTAATGCTCAGATCTTTCCTGGTGGTAGTGTGGTTGAAAATGAGCAAATATTCTTCTTCATCCCGGTAACGAAGACCATGGATAACGTTGGAAAGAGGGGGAAAGCGCGGTGGATATGTTTCGCTGGGAATTGTCATGGTCAGTGGAGGTTTGGGCAGACGGTGTGGTTTTGTTGGGTATTTTGAATATAATTTTTGAAAACGTTGGCAGCAATCAGCCCATATGCTTCACCAAGACCAACGTCCGAGGTCCAGAGAAGTGACAGAGTGTTGCAGTCAGAAAGAGGGACCAGCAGAAATCATAGATAGAGGTCGACTCTGCTAAATACAAGCTCAGGTAAATAATAGTAAACTATCATCGACCCCATCGACTCGAGGTCAGCTTGCACAGCCACCAACACCGAGGCCTGCATTCTTCATCACACAACTGTCAGTACCTTCGCATCAACTTCTCATTCCTAAAATTTGTCACTTAGGTTTTACGTATCGTCACTCATCTCATCTGGATCTAATCTTTAAACAAGCTCAGGCTAATAAAGTTTATCAAGTAGTACCCGTCATACTATTATTCCATATCAATAGACATTCGAACAATCTAGATCCAGTCTCAAATTGCATCCACGGAAGCAGATCTGCTATCTCTTCCCAAAGAGGTATTCACCACTTGGCTTTTTCAAATTCACAGCAGACAAGAAGGAACACTCACTTTCACTTGGCAAGGCATTGTTCCAGGGTCGACCTCCATTAGTTTTGGGTCATAGAAGCCATATTGTTATGAAGTACTGCAAATCAAACTGTTTTCATGCATGCAATCACAGAAGCATATACGCATCTATCTGCCTTCCCATTGCGTTGAACGAAGTGTTCGGAATAGGCAAGCATTCAAAGTCACTGAGCAACACTGGGCCTAGATTGTAAAACAAGGAGAACCAGCAAGCTCCTCACTCTCTCTTTGTGTTATGTTATGGCCAGCACTGATTCTTCTCATAGATGTCGCACTCATGGGAAAGCAGTAAGGAGTTGATATGAAGTACGACAACAGTGTGTATGGTAGCACCTCTGCCCTGCCAATCTCGCCTTTGTAATAGCAATCAAAAAAAGAGTTGTAGTCTTCTCTCCATCTGCCCTTGACAAAAGGATCTCGTTAGCTCCAGGCTTGGACTTCCTATGGCGACCTTGAATCACTTTCGTATGTTGCATAAGTAGTCGTTCGAGCAATCTAGATCCAGTCTGAAATTATACCCAGGAACCATCCACAGAAGCAGATCTGATATCTGTTCCCAAAGAGGCATTCACTGCTTGGTGATTTCAAATTCTGAGGCTGACAGTTCAACAAAAAGGAATACTCACCTTGACTTGCTCCACTTCTCCTACTCGCCAATTTCATGTGATTTGATCTCTGTTCTTTATTTTAACACCACCTTTCTGATCAGGCTACCAATTACTCACTGAAGAGGGAAAGATCATCGCAGTGGAGAGACAGTTGTCTGCCTCACATCCAATTCCTCATGTGGCTTTTGTGCTGCTGGAATTGGAGAAGACACAAGTCACCCTCCGAATCCTTCCAGACATGCTTTGAGACCAACGAGTCAGTCAACCAAGACATCATCCCCGTCAAGGTGAGCTCGCGAACCTCCACTGACCAGAATTATCAGTGGTTAGCAGCATCAACCCACCATGTACTGGCAGAGCCAGCACATGGACACCTCTATGGAAGTCTTTGCAAAGACAGGAGGACCTGTCTCCTTTGGATCGACCACAGCATTTCCTGGCAATTATGGGGAGTCTTGATGGGATTTGCGTTCCCCAATGTAATATTGAAAGTGTGCATCCCAATGTTCAGAGTTTTGATTTTCTGCTAGCTTACTGGAATGATCTGAGACAGGCATAATCGGACCGTGCAGGGCAGTGCAAAACAGTTCTCCTCGACTTGATAAATTCTGCTTGTCGAACTAAGCCATTCTGGAGTACCACAATACTTTTAATTCAATGCTTTACAAGATACACGTATATCGAACTGAACCTTTCTGCCTAGCTTTATAACCTAGAAGCTCGCCCTTCAACCCCATCGCTTTCTTCCATCCATCCACATTCATTCGAGTTGAACAATGACACATATAAGTCCAGTGACAACCCATTAGGCATATGTTATCTCCTGCCCTGTGCCTACTACCTTGTCTCAAAATAAAATCTGTATGCCCTCTTCCTTGAGTTCCTGCAATCGTTTAAGAGTGCATACAGACATAGGGATGGCCACTGGGCTTGCAATGAATTTGAACCCAGGTAACTGCTCTTTTTCACGATCCTCGGATTCTACCCACCAAGATTTCATCATTCCAATGAAAGCCTCACTATCGAGGCAATCAATTTTGTTCCTGCAAGGACTCTCACCATAAACTGTGATACTAAGACACTGCAGTTTGGGCAAGAGCTTGCCTCGAAATGCATCCACATTCTTGAAGAGATTAATGAAGTCCTTATTGACCTTATCTGTCTATTGCAAGCATCCATAGGAAAAAGCAAGTTGGGCGAGATATGGTGTGCACCTAAGAACTGCCGCTATCTTCTTGCCAGGGCTGATTCTATGCAGATTGAGTGCTGTTAGAGAGCAGCCAGATCATTGGATGAGACAGGTGGACATTGGGGATTGTGTCAGGAGTGATGCGAACTTCAAAGTCCAGGGACAATATCTGAAGAGATGGAAGAGTAAGGAAGGGAATAATCAAGTCACTCTTGGCTGTCAAGTGATGGATGTTGTCATTGGAGACATGAGGCACTTTGCTGGTGTCGTGCAAGTGGTCCAGAGGATTGAATGAGGACACCTTCAAGTCCTCCAGAGCTGTACATTTCTGAGTCGTTTTGAGAAGGGATAGCATCATCGGCATACTGTCATTATTGCCCCAATGCTTTCCCTTTCCCTCATGGTAGGAGGTTAGCTGGGTCCAAGGAAGAATAAATTCTCTTCCATTGAAGTTTCCAATGACTTTGATGCAGTTTAGGCGAGGAGCAAACTCGAAAGTATCAATAATCTTCTTTCTTCCACCTTTGTAGGTCATATCAATCTCTAAGGACTGTAGTGACCCCAAGGCGCCGCATACAGTCTGAAGTTCTTCAAACATGTCCTTTCCAAGGACCAGAGAAATGTATTTCCATCAATGGGAATGGACCATCAAAGCATGGAGGAGGGTGTACCCTTCTTGGTCAGTGTTACCATACACGTAGTCATAATGTATGCATAGTTCATGTGCTCCCGACTGGAGAAGCATGGTGTTCAGCATTGTGGGAGTCCATGCTCACGATCCAGAGGTCAGCACAGAAAAGCAAATAGTGAAACTCGACCAAAGCTCCAAGCATCCAAGCGTGACTGAATGCCAGAGACTGCTGACATGGGTGAGAACCCATGGTCCTGACCTTGGATCGGTAACATTGAAGTTCCCTTCAGGAAGGCTTTTGATTGACCATCGAAATATCTCTATCAGGATCTCTGGAGCAAGACATTGAACAAGGGACAGCAACAGTTTATATTCAGTGATGAGTTTGAAGATAGCCTTCTTTTCATTCTAAGTACGGATAGTCAGATATGTCATTAGTATATCAGCTACGGGTTGGTACAAAGGACATACCTGCATTGCTGATAGAGTTGCCTGTACCTTTCCAATCTCCTGGTTCAGTCCTTCAAGTGCTTCATATGCATCCAAAATCCGAGTGTCTAACACATTAGCTTCCCGTTCGGATGGAGGCAAGTTAGTGCATAAGAGGTTCTCCAAAGATGCAGATCGATGAGCCATGGCAAGGAAAGCTGAAGCTGAACTAATATCAGGACCTGGTCCCTGAGAAGTAGGCATTATTTCTTGAGCTATAATAGTATGAGTGAAAGGTCGGGCGTTCTTAGAGCAAACGACATACATCTGGATCAACAATGCTGAAGGTGGTGATGGTCCTGAGATCCGATGTTATCTGATTCAAATACAAATTCCAGTTTGATGAATTTGAAACTGAAATGGCAATCACTGCTTCGAACCCAGTGCTAGGTTGTCCTGTTTAAGCATAGTACTGTTGACATATGAGATACTGATAACAGAAAATCATCTACATTGTTATCCCACTTTGTCTAGCGGTCCACGTCCATCAGACCTCAATCAGCAGGAAAAGTCAGGGCTATCAACATCGAAGGTTCGAAATTCAAAAGCACATTAAAAGAGTCTTTACAGAAGTTCATCCCTTTGTGCACCGTTGGTTCAAAGTCTTTTAGCGTCTCACTGGCTAGATTTTGGTTCCATGGAAGAAATTTGGACACATATAGACCTATACCCGATCACTGCAAGCACATGACAGATGTGGGTCAATGTGGCATGACAATTATTACTGTAAGTCACTGTCTACGTTCTGATCTCATGAGAATTCAGAGCAAATGAGTTTAAATGATAAAACAGGGCAGTTCAAGGTTCAAGGACCATGGAGGGAACCGGGATCAGAAGCACTTTACTCATTGGTAGGATCTTAGATTTAGCACTGTGGCTGGCTGAGAAATTGGATTCCTTGGAACAAAAGAGGACAGGGCCAATAAGACATATACTTTCTCTGATGTGAATCAAGCATGCTTTTTCTTCTGATTTTCGGCTCCAGAAGCTTTCCACCACTACTTTCTTTATCAGTCTGAGTCACGTACATCAGCAACCTACTCACTTTGACAGTTTGATGTACCCCCTCCTCTAAAGAAATTTTGGGCTCGTAACCAAGAAGGAGGCATGCCTGTAAATGAGGTGTCAGTAGATCATTGGAAAACACGTGAAGAACAGCACCTTGTCAATATTGTACCATTGCATGGCAGTCGCAAACCGAACATTGAACATATTGAATTCCGATTTCTTTCCTGTAATCTTGCACACAAATTCGGTAATCATTGCAAGGAAGAGTGCTAGACCTCAAGGAATGATAATGACTTTTTTCGATCCGTCGTCTCCCAGCTCCCTGAATATCAATCAATTGAAAGTCCACAGTGGCATCGGCTGCCCATTTATGATGAAGAAGATTTGTCCGGCAACTGTATCGGGTTTTTCAAGTAGACAATCTGCTGCAAGAATGTGCACTTGCACTGCATTTCCTGTGTACAAATAATCTACGAGGTTGGTGTTGTCTCCGATTTGCACATTTTGCTGACCATCTTCGTAGAGCTTTGCTACACGCCACATGAGTTGTTTGTCTCGCTCCCTGGCAACTACGTTTTACGAATTCATCATGCAAGAGGTAAGAGAAGGGCTTACCCAGTCATGCCACATGGCCTAAGCACAACAACCTTCATTCCATCGATGTCATTCATGTTGAGAATGATTTTTTCACCCAATGCCTTGGTATGATGATATGCGTCATAGCCTTTGGAGGGAACAGGTACATCATCCTCCTTTACCCTGGCAAAATCAGCGCCCATCCATACAACACCCGTTGATGATGTGTACATGATTCTCTTGATCCCTGCAGCTCTACATGAAGATACAACGACATGAGTTCCCTCTTCATTGACACGAAAGTACACATCAGGAGAGAGCCCATGAATTGGAGAAGCTGTATGATAGACAACAGCTGGCTGAAACTAGAAAACGAGACCCAAAGTTAAGTTTGTCTTTTCTGTTATTGTGATGGGACACACAAACCTGCTTAAGCACCTCAGTCAAATGCGTTTCATCAGTTATGTCTCCAATGAAGTATTCCACTCCTTTCACAGATTCACTAGCACTAGGCTGAACAAGATCCAAGACACCAACAGTAACATCGCCATGAGCCTTCAGCATTCCCACAATGTGAGATCCCAAAAAGCCAGAACCACCGATAACCATATGTCCAGCAGGCATCTCAGTCTGATAGAGGAACTGTTATTCGATGAGGCTGCAAAGAAAGTGTGGTTAAACAGTAGTCAGTGTGTCGCAATGCCATTAGGTCTGATATCAGTCGAGGCCATGGGGATATTTCGCCCATCAGAAGATGATCTTTTGGCATGTGGTATGTTTGAGAAGAATTCAGAGAACTTGCTCCATGTGTGGAATGGAGCACACCGCATGCCACATATGCTTGGACTATTCAGCTAGATCTGGCACCTCGCCTGGTGCATCTCATTATACTAGCCCTAATGGACATCTTCACTTCGTTAGAACACCCCATTGGTCTAGCACTTGAGATCATTCTCTCATCGGCATTGCTGAGGTGATCTCTTTCTCATTGAAAGGCTCTGCAGTCTGGCTTGTCTTCATACTCCTATGTCATGTTGCCAAAGGTCATCACATGCTATTACCGTGGCAATAAATGTTGCCTGCTGGTCGCAAGAATGAAGTATATCTGATTCTCCCAGCAATGAGCTTGGCAACGGGCGCTGCGAATCCTGTAGTCAGGCTATGTGAGGCCAAGATAGCAGGAGAGAGATGCAAGTGTAGTGGAAATGAAATAGGACATGAACAGCATCAATATTCTGCAGTGGTGGAAAACTCTAAATTGTATCTTGATTTGTATGGTCCATATCTTTTACTCCCATCATAGCCTGGATGAGATAAATGCGAAAGGTGAAACTGACCAGAAATTTAGGGACTAGAAGCGCTCATGGAATCATTGGGCTTGATGTAGCGATTAGCTGTCTGATAGTATGGTGGTACAGTTCCTCAGGCCTCAGGGAGGGTGTATTTCTCGGAGTTGTCGAATTGCGAGAAGAAAATCGGCTAGAGTAGCTGTTAGTTGACTAGTACATGCCATATGATATCATCTGTACCTCAACAGACCGTGCAGCAGTGTTTCGTCCTAGGCTGGTGTTATTTCAGGAGAAAGGAAAGGGGATAACTCTTAAGAAGGAAATGTCGAGGTCACATGATAATCGAACACGGCAATCAAACCGGAGACTGAATTCCTGAGGGAATTCCTGCCGCCATCCCGAGGACTCCTTAACCGTCGTCGCGCAAATAAAAGGCCATGCGCTTCTTCTATTCCGCCTCTTCCGTTCTTTCCTTCGTACTATCATCACCATGCCTCTTAGTCCTGATGAACTCATCCACCTCGATCTCGTAAACCTTCTATCACTTCCAACCAGCTCGGACCAGCTCAAGGCTGAAATTCAACACCCGAAGAGTCTGTCGATGGAATGAAGTACTTCGCATTCTCAACAAATATCAAGAACGCCAGTAACAAGAATCGAAGAAGGACCTTGGTAAGCGTCGCTGTGCTACTCTGTCCAGCCTAGGACTCACCATTTCTTCAGCCAGACTACTCGTTAACGAGAAACATTGGCTTGACCGTTCTTGCCTCTCGCCCGTCTGCTGATGATCCGACCTCACGTCGGTTTTCTATGCTCGCAAATGGATGCAGAGTTTTCCAAGAAGAGAAGTAGAGAGGACGATAACGCCTTGGTTGAGAAACAGGATATACTCCCCTCCAAGAGTACTAGTGAGTTATGATTAGTCCTCATATTGACGCGTCTCTCATTGGTGCAGTGGCCTCTGGAGATTCAGCAGCTTTGAGGAAGAAATCGCGCATCTCCGATGCAGACATCGCCGACAGTAAGTGATTCTTTCTTCTCGCATGTGTTTTGCTGAGAATTCATGATACAGGTTCCACTATGACATGAACTATCCTCCATCTTCCATAGACATGCTCCAGATTCTACACATTGATTTGTACGCATGCATACCTTGGCAATTGTCAACACCTATCCCTTCTATTTGGACGCCGGAGCACCTGAGGCTTGAGACCCAACTTTGATGCTATTCTGAACGCATATATGCGGTACTTTCTTCGTCATCTTCATATCACCGTTCGTCAATTCACGATAGTATCTGGCTGGACTATGCGACCGCAGACTTGATGGACTTGATATTGTTAGTGGGATTGTAATCAAGATATCTGTGGTGAGTAATGCTGTATTCTTCGTTTTTATCATGATCCTAAGAGGGCCGCAGATGCAAGCCATCAACAAACAATATTATCGCTCGTCAGATTCATCCTTAAGAGCCCTTTCTGAAGACTAGTGCAACATGGGTATACTGTCATCACTTGTCAGGTGGGTAGTGTTCTGCAGTTGTATGTGCGTTTGTTTAAATGATAGTCAGGCAAAGCTATCTAATATTTCTCAATGATCGCAAGACAGTTCCGTACTATCCGGCCGCGCTGGGAGAGTTGCAGGGAATTTCTCGTAGGCGAGGAAGCTGCACATGCTAGAGCGGTACGAAGCGAAGTAGAGGACCGACTCGAATGAGAAGAAAGCTCTTCAGAAGCGAGAGGATTAGGAGACACCGCAGTATGAGGAGGAAAAAAAACGGCACGCCAATAAAAGTTGTCGATGAGGCTGCAGAGGTTTGGAGGAACTGGTTTTCTCGAGTCGGGCAAGGAGATCGGTGCGAAAATACAGATACAGTAGGTATGTCCTTCTTTCAGTGGCCAGACATTGCGCTTACAGCTACCGGCTCAGGTTTTTCGGGTAGAGATCAAAACGACACCTTCAAACTCAGCTTCGAAGGATCCAGCGAAGAACTCCTGCCATTTTTGGTGACTAAGCTTTCTCTGGGGACACGTACCAGATTCGGATGCGCGGCTCAGGGATGTAAATAGAGGTGGAGAAGAGCCGAATCAAGCTATCGGGGCACGGGAATCGCTGGAAGGAGTTCAAGAGTGCGATGAACCAACTCTGCTTATCGGACTACAATGAACTTCACGGCATGCTTATAACCACGGGTACGGTCCTTTCCCAGGTCGTGCAGACATCAAAGACTCTGGCATTTAATCGAGCTCCGACGCTCGAGAGGGATGACTGGAAACTTTCGATGACGCTAAGAATGGCTCGTGGCAGCCCATCCTGCCTTGCCTTTCCCGCAGACTGATAGGTCGGTCTTCTGCTGTTTTCATTACCGCCCTCAATACTGAATCCGAGAAGTGCGCATTTCTTCGCAGAAATTTTCTGGCGGAGGCAGAGTATGACCCGCATATCGTTCTAGCGCCCTTCCATGGCAAGATGATGCGCGCTCCCCAATGGCTGGACTTTCGACTCCTTGGTTGTCTTGATACTATCCCCCATAATGATACATAAAAACGCCAGCCTGCATGAAGATAGAGTTTTTCAAGGGTTCCGCACTCCAATGAACGCACCAATGGCGGCTTTAACCTACCCCCTTCCTTCCTTCATTTAGACCCCGTTTCATTTTTGTCAATCATTCCCGTCGTACCTCCAAGTCGTGCTACAAGAGACGGCGTCTCCTTACTGTCGAGGCGTCCGACCTCCTCCCAAACCCGCAGGACTTGACGATGAGGATGATGGGAAAGGGACGAAGAGGAGAGAACTTTTAACTGTTGCCGTGTGGGCGAAGGGTTATCGGGGTGATGTCAGGGATTTTCTGGGAGATGCGAAGGGTCGCACCTCGCTGTTAACCGACTTGGTGGAAGTGGTGGCTTGTTTTCACCCACCTGTTCCTACTGCGTCAATAGGCACGACTTGCTCCGCAACACAACCTCTTCGTCGAAACTATCGGTGGTACAAGACTGCGCCCAGTCTGGCTTTGCCGAAACGGTATTGGACTTGGCACCGGCCATGTCCTCTTCGCTTGCTGCGTGAGACCGATAGGTATGCCTTTCTTTTTCTCTCATTACTAGTCGCCGGTCTGAAATGACACAATATTAGGCTGCGCTGTTCTTTACAGCAAGAAACTAACTGTTCTCTATGGCAACCAAGCTGTTCACCACCGCTTCCCCACAGAGTTTCGCTTATCCTTCATTACTTCACTCTGGCAAAGGCCTGGCTTTCGACCCTTCTGTCTTCTCGTTATCCTCCCACCCATTATAGAGGATTGTTGAGAAGAAAGGGAGGCTCAGACCTGCAATGCCATCTACTCTCCTGAAATCGGTTCTGCCCGTCCTGATGGATGTATGCGCGCGCGCTGTGATCTCCGTGGATAGAGGGGACACGGGGGTTTCCGGGAAAGGAAGAGATAATGAAGGATATTGCGAAGGTGATAGTAAGGACGGCGATAAGGCACAACCTCGGGTCGTTAAGGGAATCGTACGTGGATCAACGACGATAATAAAGATGCAGTCGAAAATCCTTTTCTGCCTTATCGATGTTCCCGCCCATGCTTGGAACATGTGTCGTCACAAATATCTGCCACGCTCGCCTGACGAAAATCCCCATGGCTCTCCGTCGACCGAATCAATCACTAGACTTCTTAAACTTCTAACCGAGCCAATGTCCACCTCTAGCCGCTTGGCGTTCAGCGCACGTAATGAACCCGGCAGCAAAAAGATACATCTAATGCAGCGTCGTTGTCTTATTATCCTCCAGCCATTGGTCTACTTTCCCTTACCCATCCCCCGTGATTTCTGGAACTACGGTGCTGTTCATGTTCTATACAACCTAACCCCGGTTCACCCACAGCCGTCTCATAGCCGTCTCCGAAGGCATCTGTGTACTACCACCTCTTCTATGGGTTGCTCGCATCTCCAGTTATTCCCATATAGTGCGCGGTCGAGAGCATCACATCCTTCGACTCGAGCTTCAACGCCTGATCCACGGTCAAATGTCGCTGTTGCGCACGCTCAGCATTTGTGTGGGGGCATTCCAGCTGCGACTGATCAAGGTTCTGGCTGGGATGACCATGGCATGCAGTGCAGCCACCGTTTGTGGTGATAGGATCCAGAGGACAAGGGGTCGTTTAAATTAATTGCTCAAGAACAAAGGCATAACCTCGGTAGTTTTGGACTCCGCGGACTTTAGGTGTAGCGGAGGAAGGGCGACTATACAACGAGAGGGGAGAACGGCATTAACGTTTGAATAGTCAAAATTGAGACGATACAAGGTCTTGGTATGCCATGACGGGAAGGCCGGAGGAGCAGTGTCTTGGAGACTTGACGGTGAGAGAGCGCGCCAGGACCTTCTAACTGTGTCATTATGACTCAACATACGTCTCAAGCGCAGATGTTTTCTCCGCCATCGAATAATTTCGGATCCCTACCGCAGCGAACAGAACTGATGTTTCAAATATCCAGAAACTCAATCTTTTTTTCGTCCTACGGGGAGGCCATAAATTGAACGGTGAAATTCATCGATTTATCCGCCCACCATGCTGTGCTCGTACCTCTTCACATTCGCGTCGCTGGTCTGCACTGCTCTCGCTCAGCAGCACAATGCTGAGCCGATTGTCAATGGGACGGCTGATGACGGTTGGCAATCGTTCCCAGACGTTATTGATGCTAAGGCGTATCCTGACTGGGTCGTAGATGAGGACGCGGGAGGATATCTGGTACATCTTCCCCTCTGCCCTGGCTTCATTATCTGACGACAAATGTTAGCCTGTATACCAAACAGCTGGCCTGAACAAGACAGAAGTAACAAGAGCAATTATTGTTTTGAATGGCAAGGTGCGATAAGAGTGCTTTCATTCTCAGACTATCAGTCCCTGACGTTGTGAACAGGATAGAACTTGTTGGTCCGGTGAGTATTTGCAACGGTCCATACCGCCCCGCATAAATCTCATTGCTCCCAACTAGACTGGACTGCGATGAATAACGCGCTTTATAATGCTACCTATGATGATCCCACCATCGAACGCGACCACATATCTATCATGGCTCCTTGCTTCTTCACAGAGGCTGACTTGAAAGCGGGCGCGGCAACAGACGACCAGCTCATATGGGATAATACGACTTGGATCAGCGGGCATTCCAATGTCGCCGATAACCCATCAAACTTTAGCACGTACGATGTCCTCGATACGCTTGTGGCGTACTACATGAATACAACCGTCTACCCGAATTTACAGGTCCACCTCTATTCCGACATGCCATTGCCCTTTTGTTGATGATCATATTCAGGTCGTCGTCATTGCAGGCCACTCTGCCGGCGGCCAAATGACCCAGCGCTACGTGGCTCTCAGGCCGTCAAACGAGGATGATAGCCGACTGCATTTCTGGATCGGTACGTCCTTCCAAAGAGCGAGAGAAAAAAACTAACCTTAAAACGATAAAGCCAACCCGGGTTCCTTATGCTGGCTAACCTCGGACCGCCCATTTCCCGACGATGACTGTGATGGCGTTGATGATTTCAAATATGGGCTGAAGGCGAACTTCCCCGCCTACGCAACTGCGGATGCTCGTGTTCTTGAAAGGGAGGGTATCATTGAGAGATACAACGGGCGCACAATTAGTTATGCCTGGGGACTCGTAAGTGATGTTATTTGTCTCAGAGTGATTTTCTACCACTCGTTACAGGAAGACCATGGTGACGGCGACCCTCGATGTCAAGCAAAAGTCAGTAATCTAATGTCCCTTTTCTGCTATTATGTAATATCTTACATGTTGCAGACCCAGGGGAATTCGCATCTAGAAAGGGGACAGTATTTCGTGTCGATGCTGGAGGATATGGGAGGCGTACCTAATTGCACCACCGTCGATTGGGTACCCGGTATCAGCCATGACGCTGAAGGGATGATGGCAAGCAATGTGGGAATCGATAAGGTGAGGATATTGGCATACAGATGGGAGCCCATTTCCGTAGCTGATGATTCCGGTAGTTATTTCGATTTATGGGAAACGAGGGATGTGCTTAACGGGGGCACGCAATTCAGCTCTACACCGGAACGTCACTAATAATCGACTCCGCAATGTTCCACCAACGTCAGAATATGCGGGTCTAAGTTTTGAAAATAACTATACATACTCATCTAATTTTTGTAGTCTTCTACTCTTCGTATGCGACCGTGTCGATATCATCTGTTTCTAGGTAGTCCGTCATTCAGGAAATGATGTGAAATCTAATTCGAGCTCAATGGCATACGTCTGAACGCCCCGCGTTATTCCTCGATACAATTGCCTTCGGATCTCGGAGCTCACACTAGTCCTGGAGCAATGTTAGTTGTCCGCCGTCGTCGATTGGAAGACTGACTTCTTGTATTGCACTAATCTTCCTGTAACCAGTTTCTGTATGGAAATACTTGCGCTCTCTAGTGCATACTAAATCTTACCAACTTTACAGCTTCTCTACGTCTTATTTATTTTCACGGCCTCCCAGTAGTATTGATTCGTCTCGAGGCTTCATGAGATGCTCCACCTCAGTAACCCTGGACGCGTGGGTGAAGTGTTATAGACGTTTTAAACCTGCAAAATACAGCATGTGGAGTCACCGTCTTGCCGCGCCTTCGACCAGCTTCCTATTTGAGATTGTCTCAGATCATTCCAGCCGTCCGCGCCAAAACCAAAACTGTGAACACCAGGTCGCAAGGAGGCAGGGAATCGTTGTGGACCGCGCTACTTTGGCGGCCATCCTCTAGAATTGGTCACGTATCCTTGTGGTGCGTGGGTGGCGCAGTGACACTGACCTCGGTGAGCTGCGCTGTTTCGGCCCGAAGTGAACCTGATCAAGTCATGTACGGGGTCGGCCCCTATGTCCTGTTCTCTCGGATGAGTCCAGCTGCAGTAATGGATGATGAATCTCAGGGCAGTGACCGAGATGTGTCCCTCGGGGTAACGGGATCCACACTTTTTGTTAGTAGCATGGTTGAAAAGGTTTAGCGTGATTTGCTAGATTATCGTTTTGTGATGTCCTGGCGATTCTTCTGTGTCGAAATAGTTCGTCAGACGAATTCTGTAGTAAGCATTCAACAGACCTAGTAAGTAAGACGATCTACGTTCCCGGATCACCGTCAACAAAGAGGACCTTCTCCCGTCCAACTCTGCTCAAACGAAATTTCTTCAATGGTGGGACATCGTTCCTGTTGTAAATAGGTCTGACAACTTGGACGAATATAGCGCCTTAAAGTTCTTATACTAGGTCTTTACATTCTAAATTTGTCATCCAAGTAAACATCCGCGGAGGCAAATCCAGCGGGATGTCCCAAAAAGGCATTCAACGCTTGCGATTTTGAAATCCAGGGCGAGATTCTATTTTTACGCAGAATTTACGGGTGCCGCCTATTGAGAACATGCCAGAGCTCCCATTTCAATTGTTCAACAACGTTGGTAATAGGCGATATCTCCCTTGCAGTCGCTCCGTGGGCAATATAACTGGCCTTCCTACTCGAGATTGTCTCAGATCACCCCGGCCAGTCGAGCAATAAACAAGACCATGGACATCAAATTTCAGAAAATCCAGTATTCGTTGCGGACCGCGTTACTTTGGCGGCCATCCTCTATGGCTGCTGTATTCAGCGTAGTGACCTCGATGAGCTGCGCTGTTTCGACCCGGAGTGAGCCTGATCAGTTCATGACGGTTGGTCCCTATATATTTCGTCCTGCCCTTTCGCAATGAGTCCAGCTGCAGTAATTTATAATGAATTGTCCGGGCAGTTGTACAAGGATGTGTTCTTCGGGGTAACGAGGTCCGCTTTTCATTTTATTACACGACAAGTAGCTGCTATTGTTCAAATAATAAGTGAGCTATTATTTTGCAGGTTTTGCGAAGGCTCCAACGTGTACATCCCTGACTTTAAGGACAGAGGCGACTGACTCTCGCGTCCTGAGTAAAGTGGGTGGCACGAGGGATTGTTCATAAGGATAATCATTTTATTAAGATGCCAACTAGTAGTAGCATAGAACGATCGCATCTCGGGCGCAAATATTAAGGCAAAGTGCCTTCCTTCAGCGAAACACGTTGACACAGGTTAACAGAAGGAAGATATGCAAGAAAGGCGAGCCCTGCCAATGGGTTACCGCACCACGACATGGGGCGAAGAGAAGATTACATATTGTCGACCTCGTTTCTTGATCTCGCTGGGAACCGTGCACTGTTACTCCAGAGGTGAGATTGGAAAACATAGAACCACATACCGTTGGCGCCTTTGTCGTGTTTCGAGCCAGATCCATCGTTTTCTCGCGACCACGACCCCTAGAAGAAGGATAAGCGTTGGCATCGCACTCGCACAATCTTCCCAGGTGCAAGCGAATACACGAAAGAATTGTCTTCACAGCATAGCTACGAAAATCAAGGAGGCGCTGAAAAAGAAACAGGATGAGGAAGAGCTCACTCAGGAGCTAGACGCAATGGAGGAAGCAGTACGTAAGAGATTTAAAGAAGGCGTGTTCTCAGCATAGGCTTTCGGATCCGTTTTCTCTTCTCCCGAAGAAGAATAAGGCAAGGAATCTTGAAGGAAGTCGACTGCATTACCGTTAAGTTCGCACGCAGTGAGCAGGTTGAATACGGTCACTCTATCTCACGGGTACGCAGACGCGAAATAGATCTCCAGTTCTCTCTCTACATGCTTGAATGTCTTCTGAATCAATACGATGTGAATGTATGCGCATCAAAAGAGCTCAGTTTGCAATGACGCGGTTTCTACACCCCAGAACTAATGACAGCCGACTCTGAAGCAACATTATGGACGCCGCTTCAGGCGAGATGCTTCTCGGCCTTCCTTTTCCTGCTGCTAGGCTAGATTCGACGGATCGTCAGTACTATCAAAAGGTGATAGAAATTTGAACGAACCTGGCGTCCTTGCAACTCCTTCGTGGTCACTGAGGATATCCTAGGAACAGCAGTATCTGCATGGAGGTTAGTAAAACTAGGGTATGATGCAGGTATCTCACCTAATTCTTTGCGCGCCTGATGTGCCATTTCGGTACGATGAACCTCCGTATCAATCTGCTCTTGAACAGACGCTAACGCCTCTTGATAAGATTTCTCGCGTTCGTCGCACTCGTCCGCTTCAACTTGAGTCAAATGGATTGCATTCTTCATGGCTTCGAGGACCTTTGTATGGGCATCATCCACGACGTCGACAATCGCCATCAGATCAGCAAGAGTCGGAGCCGGACTGGCGAGGTATGAGGCGACGGCAGCTTTGGTCTCGTCGACGATGCTCGAGTGATGTGGAAGTACATCAATATATGTACCATCGTTCTCAGCCGTGAGCGAGGTACGAGATCTCTTCATGGTGCTATCGACAAGAGGTTCAGGACTCGCTTGGAGGAATATTAGCCTTAGGCGAGGTCGGGAAAATACAGAAAATACATGCCTTCGTTCTTCCTCTCCACGCCCGATACGTTCTCTTCAGCTTCCAGATATTCTATAGCAGCGAGTCAGGACAGCATGAGGAAAGAACGAAAGCTGGAGATCCGCACTGGCATATACTCTTTCTTTGGCTTCGAGCTTCGCGATCCTCAGCATCGTAGGCTCTTCATCAGCAATGGCAGCTTCCAAGGCAGCGTCGGCGCTGATGATAGCGTCATCCAGATTCTGTATCACTTGGAACATCGGGGAAAGTGTAGCTTTGAGGGTGATATGGGTGGCCATGGTGGTCAATGAGAGCGTGAACGTCCCGACACCCATATACCCGTCCCAATTAGGCGACCCAAAAATTCCTCTCACGCAACCGACTTCATCGAGTGTCAATCTTGATTAAAAAAAGAATAACGCGAAAAAATACGTGAAGAGAAATGAGAATGAAGTCCGAGATGCGCGTTTTATCGACAATTGAAGACCTCAGAGTCTCAGACTCCAGAGCATAGAGAAAATGCTGGCGGCAGTTGTAAGGCGAGTGAGACTACAACTCGAAATCAAGCCTGGATTTTCGACTATCCAATACTTGGCCCGCAGCCATGTAAGATGCGATAGGATATCCAGGTATGGCCCATTATGTGGGGCTTGGAACGAGGGTGGCCGAATAAGAGAACGGTTTAAGCTCCGCTTCAAACTCCTGGTTTTCGCCACACGCGTTCTGGATCCTAATTTGGCAATGAACGCTCGAACATGCATGATTTTTCCATTAACCACCTCCAGTGACACTCATCCGTGGCTCATTTGCAGCAGCCAAACAGGCACCCCAGAAATGAAAGACGCGTCGGGGATCATTTCCTAGCCGACGGCTTTGTCCGCACATCATTTGAATTTCCAAGGCACTCTTAATCACGTGATCCTAACCAACTTATGTTGAACTTGATGCCGCTGGTGCCCACTGCTTGCCATTGGCGGCACATTTTCAGTTTCTCGCAAATGACTTGTAAGCCGAGCTGAGGCCTTCCATGGTCTGAAAGGACTCATGTCCAAGCGTTGATATAGGTATTACACAAAAGACATGGTAAATAGCTCAACTGATATTTTTGTAGAACCAAGTCGTTACCAAGTCGATGACGCTTTCATTTACACATATCCGTACGAATGTGAATATCTGGACATGGCCTGGTAGGAAGGATATGCAACTAATCTGCCATTGGCTCCGACTCGATGATCGGAATCTCTCACTATGTCTCAAGTCGCCCGTGACATACTTTGACCACGAATCTAACGAGTTTCAGAACGATATCGTTCGTCGTGCTATCGTCCTCGCCATGGAAACACAATGGGGGGGGGGGGGATGTACATCTCCCCAGCATCCGTCCTCCTTCCTTGTGGTATTGATGCTGCATGCATTCCCCCAGACGAAGCCCTCTCGGTCCACTATACGCCTCCTCCTCCCATTTTTCAGCTTTCAGCCATGAAAACGATCTACATCCCTGGTTTCGGTGGCGTCGTGAGTGTCGTGGAGATTGATAAGTCGCATTTGATCTGCAAGCGATTAGTCCTTGATGTGGAGTTTGACAAAAACATCGAGCTCGAACGTCGCCGGCGCGATATCCTCCAGTCTGAACTGGACGTCTATAGCCTCCTCCATGGATCACCTTATGTCTTCCCTATCGTCGGCCGTGTCGAAAGAGTCCGGCACTTTGTCGTCTACGATGATCCATACGTCAAAGATGTTCCCGTAACTGACCGATTTCTCATTCCTTTCGCTGGGACGCTCTCTCAATGGTGTCTTGGATTTCGTACCGAGTGGACCATGCAGGAGAAAGAGTGCCTTGCTCTCACGCTCATGGATGCCATGCTTGACTTTGAGCAGCGCGGAGTCTATACAACAGACTTGAAATGTTCAAATATCCTCCTTACAAAGGGAATTTTGAAAATCATCGATCTAGACTTGCAGACGCACACACTGGGATATTCTAGATGGGGCGTCGAGGGCGGTAACGCGGTTCAGGCTTTGTATAACATGTCCATGGCAATCAAGGAACTTTTCTTGTCTGGTACCACGTACACAATCCATCGTGAAGGGGCCGTTCCCAAGCCTTTTGTCCAACTCATCGAATGGTGCGAGGAGGATCCCTTTGGTTCTGTCGCCGAGATGATGGTAAAGACGGCAGATATGCTAGATCCCGTCCGTGCCAGCGTCAAGAATATGTCTGCTTCTACCTTGGCAGAGGCGCGGCTGTCGCGATGCAGATCACTCGCAAAGACGGAGGATGAATGGCGGTTTGCACGAACGTATGATTCCGAGCTTGATGAATATTTTTCTTGGTTGCCTAGGTATTTCGAAGTCCCCTCCCTACCTCTGATTTGCGCCTAATTTTTTCACCTTAGCATAGATGATTGACCAGTCTCTTCCGTCATCCAATACCATCGAACGGCTTGATCGGCAGAGACGTGGGCTTTCTTTGTCATATGCAAATTGATCGTCAATAGCCACATCATCTGATTGATTCTGCTAGTTATCCCCTGGCCCTATCATCGTGATCCTCTTAATGCCGAAGGCCTCAATACCAATACCTGCATACTGATAGAGCGAGCAAAGCGATGTAAGATGACGATAACAATCAAGGGATACTTACTGCCCGGCCTTCCACGAGGACATTCGAAAGAATATTTTGGCCTGAGACTGCCACACTTCAGCCTCAAAGGGGCGTCAAGACCGAGGCCCAAGGATAGATGGCGAGTCTGTAGGTCAATCCTTCCCTCTGCCGTTGTACGATTACTGATCCTTCGGAAGGCGTCCTAACGTTGGCGCAACCGTCATAACCCGTTACCAGGGACTATTCCTTGACGCAATGGTGGGGCTCCCCTCCGTGCTAATTGAAGGACCGACCAAGAATCTCGAATCTCTCAATCCATACAGACCTGACTAGACCGCACGTTGTTCTTCAATGAGTTTTTGATTGCTGCAAAGACTGGATGCATCGTGGCATGGGCTCTGCATGCCAAACTGCTGCATTCATCTGCAGGAACTTGTAATTCGGGCTATTCATACGAACCCTGTCTATCAATCTCTTTCAACCGCTTACGGAGGAGCCTTGTCTATGCTCGACGACATTTTCTCAAGGGCGAGATCCCCGTTATGAGCTCTCCTCGTAGCCTTTCATTTATATACGCCAATCGAGGACATTGACCGCCACAATGCGACAGGCATCTAGGAACCATCTGCGGAAGCAGATCTGCTATCTGGTCCCAAAGAGGCATTCACCGCTTGCTGATTTCAAACTATGGGCATGATTGTTTAACAAAAAAAGGAACACTCACCTTGACTTGCTCAACTTCTCTGACTCGACGATTTCATGTGATTCGATTTCTATTTTTGATTTTAGCACCGCTCTTCTGACCAGGCTAGTAATTACTCACTGAAGAGGGGAAGATGGTCGCAGTGGAGAGACGATCGTCTGCCTCGCATCCAATTCCTCGTGTGGCTTTCGCGCTGCCGGAATTGGAGAAGACACAAGCCGCCCTCCGAATCCTTCCGGACATGCGTCGAGGCCGATGAGTCAGTCAACCAAGACATCATCCCCATCGAGGTGAGCTCGCGAACATCCACTGACCAGGATTATCAGTGGTTAGCAGCATCGACCCGCCATGTGCCAGCAGAGCTAGCACACGGACGCCTCTACGACTGTCCTTATGAAGACAGGCTATCCTGTCTCCTTCGGATCAGCCGCTGCATTGCCCGGCAATTATGGGAGTATTTGTGGGATTTGCGTTCCCCGGTTTAGTATGGCGAACTCGTGTCCCAATGTTCATGGTTTTGATTTCCTGCTAGCTCACTGGTATGATCTGAGACAGGCAAGATCAGGCTATCTAGAAGGCAGTGCGACGTTCTATTCAAAACAACATTCCTCGAATCAAAAGCATCCATAAATCCCACTCGTCGGACTTGGTCATTGACAATTGCGGCGTCCATTAAGTTTCCTCACATCTCCTCCAGAACTATACATTGGGTCGGGTTTGAACGTAGTGGGGACCCTCAAAATTATTATTCTCGCAACGCGATGAGATCTATGCCATTAAGCCATGTAGATCTTGCACATGATGCCATCCTTTCCATGTCAATATCAAGTCACTGGGAGTTTGGGGTCGTTGAAGCTGCAGCAGTGGTTCCAGCACTATGTGAACAATCAATGAACAACGATGCGAAATTAGACGCAGAAAAGTGCAATATGATTGTCTATGAAACATTCATGAACTTCAGTCCTCGCTGCTGATAACGAGGATCGAAAGTTGCAACTGCCCAAAAAAAGTCTATTACATTCTCCAGATGTCAGTGAGACCATACACCGCTAAGCCATAGGGATCTCGCAAATTTCTGTTCTGTTTGCTATAACGTACTACAGATTCCCTTTCCTCCATGTTTCGCCACAAGGCAGCTTGGATCAATCTGAAGTTGCCTTCGAATGTCGAATTTCTGCTTGACGCTCGCTCGCTTACAACCAATCCAGCGAAGCAATAACGATTTCAACAACTTCGCCTTTGCATTATGCAAAAACATTTAAAATGAATAACATAGTAGCTAGCTTCGTGCTTGGAATATTTCTTTAATGCTTGCAGCTGGCGCACTTGCACTCGGCGCCCTGGCAAGAACAGCTATGTTCGACGTATGTCAACAATCAAGACGTCAAACCATCTCTGAAAGGTTTACTTACGAAGAACAGCTGCAGGCAGCGGTTCCGCAGGTCTGAGATACGGGAGTTTGAGCAGTCTACGCAACAATGAGCACATCAGCACGGAGGTGAACAATCAGAATAAATGGGTACGTACGAATTGCATGTTGGTTTAAGATGGGAGTTATCGACTTGGACTTTCGATAGCGTCTACAAAATTCCTGGGGCTTTTTATACTAGCCCTTGCACGTTTTCGGCGGCAGGAAGAAGCGGACCTCGAACCGCCGTTCCTTGCAGCCACATGCCTCCCCACCGAGGCGGTACTTTCGGACCCACAGATATAACGTCACCTTCCTTCTCAGTAGCCCTTTCCCTTCACTTCTACTTGTTATTCATTTGTCTCCTGCATCCGCTGTGAGAATTCTTGGTCGAAGACGAGTATTTCAGACCTTCAGTACCCTGCATTTACTCGAAGGTGTTTGCACCCGTTAACGCCACCGCATCGATACGGCTGATGGTCTTAATTATTCTTGTCTGGGCATCGGAGAGATGGGGCGTGGCGTCCGTGGCGGAGCCGTTTCTCCGTCTGGTTTTGTCCATCTGGAATCGGGGCCCAGTGGTTGGGTTGAGAATAATTGGGGATCCGTTCTTGGCTCACCGTTTTAGTAGAGGAGACACCATCGTTCCTCAGGACCGCATTGTCTTAGCGGCAATTCTTCGGTCTGGTCTTCCGTAGTCTTGCTCGAGGTGTCCTCGGCCTCATGGGTGCGAACGTTTTCCTTCTCAATGCCGTCGGGTAATGTTGCACTCCACTAGTGCCGTGCATAGAGAATCGCTTCGAACCTCAGTCGTGGATTCTACAAAGGAGCCTCTGGAAGTGAGCTTGACATGAGCTTGAGAAAGCCTCGCATAACAAACAGAAAGGATACATTCTTTGATGATGGTTTATCCAGTAAAAGAAGTGGCCCCCGCAGGCACGGACGACCTCACCCTATATTACACTGCCCCGATGAATCATTACCTGTTGCCGGGTTCATCATGGATGAGCAGGTAGCTGGAACCGGCCGGAATTGCTTCCAACCGAAATGCGTATCTCACCGAAGCCAATACGACCCGTATCCCATGGCCATCTAGGATACGGCGATTTCCAAAGGATGGCCACCAAGGGGACGCGGGCCACTATCTCTAACCTAGTATCCCTGGGTCAACACTTCAACAGTTTTAATTTTGTGACAGGCGGCTGCGATGATCTGAGACAGGTATAAATCAGTCGACTGTTGTACATCGGTAGACATTCACGAACGGGAAAAAGATGAGGGCATGCACAGCTTACACACTCATCAAAGGCTATTGCACTCCGTCAGCACTCCTCTGCTCTTTTTGGATGTCGCTGAGAAGATACGATTATCAGAGGGAGAGATTCGGATAACCAAAATCAAGTCACAAATCATTTTATTCCTTTCAAGCTGCCTATTCAACGCCTAATGTCGAGGACTCTGTCAACTAGAGAGATATGTAAAGAATATAGACGAACGTACTCGGGCATCATTCTTCGACCTGAATCTCGACTTGTGATCCATCGGATTTTCATTTGCTAGTGAAGTAATCTTGAGCACCGGCGGATGCGAGACAGACGCTGTAGGGATAGAAAGTACAGTCGCTGGCGTTAGGTGAGGTAAAAAGACATTAGCGCATCTCGAGACGATCGAGTCGACTTAGTTGTCTGCCTGGAAATCCTTTTATGAACGAATCCTTGTGAGAGGGTGACCTAGAAATGGTGCATCAGCGACGGGCGATGCAATGGATGGCGATTCGCTCGAGGTGTGTCTTGCTAACCAAGTAGAGCATTCCAACCTTTATGCTGAATCCCTTCTGATGTTGAAATATCATTATTTCGTAGGCGTTCACGATCGGGAGCCCGCCTACAATTGCACAATCAGGTCGACAGTTCATATTTCTCCTTCCAACAGTCACCATCATCTTTTTACATTCATCTTCGCCTGCTCTTTGATTTTCGTCTATGACGACTCCAGCAGTACCATTGTCGAGAATGCAATGGCAGCTGTTGCCCGCTTTGTTGCTCCTCCCGATTCAGAAAAGATGCTCGAGGGATCAAGAAAGGTCGTGGCGATGATGGATGAGGCCAATCAATTATCAGATGTTATCCCAATCTTCTGATGCAATTCTTGGAGACCTGAAAACGGCGGTTTCAAAGGATGAATAGACGAAGGAAACGCTGGAGGACCAACTCGCAGTGGTCAAGGGCGACACTACGCTGCAGTCCTGGGATGACATCAAAAAACTGGTGCATATCCAAATTTCGGAGCCCGCCTCGTCTGATATACATACAGAGGATCACCAAGAGAAGGAACAGTCCCGCGAAGCAGCTTCAGCCAGATGCCGGAAAGGTGCGTAGACGCACGCTCTCTTGGCAGTCATTATGCAATCTTAATCAGCACTGAACCTATCATTCAATCAGTCGTGACTCGTCGTCGAAGGAAACAGCTAGGTTCTGAAGGGAGGATAAAGAGTGATATATACCTCCGTCGTTCGGCGTCAGTACTAGGAACTCTTCGAGATAGTTTGAATGGGTTTGATTTGTCGAACTTTAGCGAATGAGATGTGATCTTCATGACCGTTCACCAATTTTACGCATACATGTCCAGGTAAAACGTTTGCTTAGGCGTAAAGATATCAGTGGAGAAACCGCCCGTAGGTTTGAAGTCCGGGAATAGGTGAGCCACGCTATGGTTGGAGGAAAACCTCTCCGAGGTTGGCCGCTCATCATCGCTAGTAATTTACCTTTGCTGGGCCGGGGCTTACCGGGGATTTTATGGTAAAAAATACTGGGTCATGTGACTTTGTAATTCCATTTCTGGCTGGTCGCTACGGGGTTGCTACCAGCACTTGTCAATGCATTTATGCCCCAGTGTTCGCAGTGAGTCTTTCGAGCGTGACTTTATGGTGCGAAACTAATTATATACCATTTATAACAGTCAAAATCAATGGTATAATCGTTGTCATTACTCGTAGCTGCCTGAATAAGGCGAAGCCTTTTGATTCGGTCCTTGATTCTGCAGCAAGGCCGCCGAGGAATGTACTTGCGAAATTGTGACTGGAAGGAACATCTTCTAGAGACTTGCGCGCTGATACAGGTTTGAAGACGTCATTCTGAAGATTGGCTGTTGGGATAGAGCCAAATGAGATCAAATTCGACGGCTCAGAATGCAAGAGAGCGCAACAGGATTCAGATACGCGGCAGCCAGATATAATGGGGTATAGTAGGTGCTCCTTTTTACGAACAAATTGCTATGCCGATGATGCATTATATCCAAAAGCTCGTCGCCGACATTATCAGGGAAATTGTTCTCCTCGTTTAGAGATAATTTTCGGTATAAACGTCACGATATTTGCCAAGGTAAAATTTTGGGGGATCTTTGTATGAAAAATCTCGGATTGACTTTTCCTGTCGGGGTCGATTGTGGGTCAGGATAGAAGAAGCCAAGGATGGGAGCAATGTTATGAATAGCCACTCCGCGTCTTTGTTATGGATCTGCCGAAATCCGGAGATGCGAGCACGAGGCGAGGAGTGATGATCGAAGCGAGGTATGATTAATTAGAAATGATGTACGTCGTTAGGGAATATAATGGATTCCTGGCGAGGGTTCGTGAGGAGACCTGAGAGGTCCGGTTTGCGAAATAAAGGAAATCAGTAAGCGCGAAGCAATTACTGAGGGAAATAGCCGGTAAGCGCGGAGCAATTACCGATATAGAAAGCCTGTAAGCGCGAAGCTATTATGGGCTGAGGGTGAAGGCAAGCGCTAAGCGTAACCTTCGGGTTGGTGTCAGAAAGCGCTAGGCATATCCAACGAGTTGTTCAGCAAGCGCTAGGCGTAACTGAGGGTTCATGCAGTGAAGGTGTCCTGAAAGTGGTAGATTGATCAAAGCTTTTTAATACAATGTTACCTACGAGTTTATATACTAAGGAAAGATTAGAGTCATTATTATTCTATAATGTTCCATAATATTCTAGTATCAATACGAAGAATAGAGAAAGTAAGAGAAAGTGCGAGCGAGTCACTACTAGGACCGAGAAGGCCGAGTTCGGGCATGTGTTGACTCATGCACCGAATCAGTGGATACCCAATATCCATAACAGTCTTCTTCTATCTCGTTCACATAAGCGTGGAATTTCGATGCTGATTTTCATCTTTTCTTGAGTGTTCTTTCTTATTTTACTACTTATCTGTACGTTATCTGGGTCGCCACTCTATGACCCGTGCCTTCTCATGCCAGATACCGCTGAACAACGCCGTCTATTGGTTCCCTTGCCGTTCTATATCAGTGGCCAGTGGTTGGCGACCTCATGAGTCATGGCAAGAGCGTGATGTGTCATATGGTGCCAAACGGCTTTTTGAAGATCCTTAGCGGAGGTCCGATTCTTGGATCGAATGGGAACGATTACGAGTACCACCAAGCTTGACCGTTCAGCGTCGCCCAAAGCACTAACATTCTGAGCTTCCGTATGAGCCTCACGTACAAGATGTGCTTACAAACGGACAATCAAAACGACCTTCAGGATTGATTCGGGGGAGGAAACACGGGGTGCAGCAAGTACCAATCGTTCTGGCGGCCCTTCGGAACGTTCCACGCTCTCACGGAGTCGTGAATACTTATAGTCGCATTCCTCGTCTCACGAGTTCTCTTATCCCCCCGAGGTGCCACCACGATGACCATTCAAGTTAAACACTACGTTCCGCCGCCCGTCACGAAAGAGTCATGTACGTACACAATATACTAATTAAAAAGTACTTACACCCTACAGTGGACTATGCGGACCTTCCGATAATTGACCTATCCAAGAACCCGCGTCCCGAAGAAGTGCGCGAAGCTATGCAGACACATGGATTTTTCTATGTAGTTGGGCATGGTTTATCACCTACCGAGGTACGTGGTCTCTTCTAGGTATTTCTATCTCTCACCGATTACACCGTCCTGTAGAACCAGCGAATCTTTGACATTGCTGATATTCCGTTCACTGATATTAGTGATAGCGAAAAGCAGCAGTACGAGGCGAAAATCATACAGACAGGGTCCTACCAGGGGTATAAACTCCGGCAGTACTGGGTATGTCAAGCCGTGTCTACGTTTGGATTTTTGGGAAATTAAAGTTGGCTTTCATAGCACATCGACAACGGGGTGAAAGACCAAATCGAGCATTACCAGAGTAAGATTGATTGGTTGTTGTTCGCAGTGTGCTCATTTGAAATCTTTCAGTTCACCGAGATGTCACCATGCGACAGCACCCCAAAGGCCTACGCCCGTATCTCGAAGAGATCGAAGCATTTATAAAGCACAACCACTTTAATGTTCTTCATCCCATTCTGAGGTTGGATTCCCATTTTTCGCATTTTCCGTCTTTCTTATTTCACAATACAGACTCCTCGCATTAGGTTTAGGCCTCCCAGAAAATGCCCTCGTGGATATTCACGGATACTCCTCTGTCGGGGAAACATCTTGTAAGAGTTCTATTTGTTGAATGCCCACGGATCGCTCAGCATATCGATTAGTGAGGTTTATAAAATAGTTGCGTCCCGTTTTATATTTCGTCTGCAAGCTCCCTGATTGATATAAGTTACCCCCACTCCGCCGAGGACAACAAAAAGACGAAGAATGTTTGGCTTAAAGGGCACACCGGTACATCTAGTGCTATATTACGTTACATGCGACTGATACCTGTAGATACTGGTTCAATAACCATCCTGTACAGTCAGCCCGTATCGGCGTTGCAGATGCTTGCACCCTCGGGTGAGTGGAAATGGGTAAAGCATATCGAGAATGCGCTGGTTAGTATAATATACGCCATAGATGATTCCATTGCTGATGACTGAAATAGGTCATCAACGCTGGAGATGCGCTCGAGTTTCTGTCAGGAGAGGTTTATCGCTCTACGATTCATCGGTACGTCGATGACTTGTGTCTTGACACCTGAGTATTGACCTGCCACCAGGGTCGTTCAACCTCCCATGGATCAGAGGGGGTGCCAACGCCTTGGAGTATTCTATTTCTCTTTGCCAGATGATAACGTGAAACTCCTTCCTTTGGTTGACACCAAAACACCGAGTCGACGGTTTGTGGATGTGGACACTCCGACCATGGAAAAGTGGCGAAAGGGGAGAACGGCAGCGTATGGAAAGACGCAGCCGAGGAAGGTAGACGGGGATGAGAGGGTCGAAGAGGAAGTTATTGCTGGGGTTGTGATGAAGCATTATAACTAATGAGAGGTATCCGTAGTTCAAAAGGCTGTCAAAACATAAAGTGCAGTGATTATGATCCAAATTTTTCTGCCTTTTATGTCTACTTCAGGAATTGCTTTAACTATTAACCATATCAATTATGTACTTGATAAGAGCTGAGCACTAAGGTATAGTGACACAAGAAATCTGTGCTCGCCTTTTCCAGGCCCGACATGGACATTTGAAGCTCTGCATTATTGGGTCCGCACCGTACGGTACTGCGCACAAAGCGTTAGGCCGTGAGCAGTTTTCATTCGGAGCTTTGAAGTCCCGAAACACGAATAAAAAGTGACCCTAGTCGCAAGAGGAATTCATCCCTGTACACTGCTCGAACGAATCATTACCTGTTGCCAGATTCATCGTCGAAGAGCAGGACTCTGGAAGCCGACTGGAAGTGAGGTCATCACTTGCGGTCGAAATGTCGCATCTCACCGAGGCCAATACGACACCCCCCATATCCCATTTGGCCCTGAGATACAGTGACTTCCATAAGATGGTTCCCACGAGGACGCGGGCCACTGTTTCTAATACAGTATCTTTGAGTCTGCACCTTCACAGTTTTGATTTTCGCACAGCTGGCTGGGATGATCTGAGATTGTCTCAGCTATCGGCAGCGGCATTACTGAAGTTGGCGTGTATATTTTGCATAATACTTGCACGGTTCTCATCTTCATTCTGTGCGTTTGAATTAGTGGTCCTGCTCCTGTGACAATCAGTAGTCAATACTGCAAAGAAAAGCGAGGGAAAGTACCTTGAAGTGCACAGGACGCAGAACGAGCGTTGCTTTCCACTCAGTCCCGTTCTTTTCTGGAATCAGATGCACAAGGGCCGGCCTCTCGTGGGATATCATTCTCAGTCAAGGTACTTCCACGTCTGACTCTGCATCGACGGTGCTCTGAGAACACCGTCCAACACCATACAACCAGTGTGAGGTTTAACCTTGGGATGTTCCTTCCGCGTAGTTGCACAAAAGCGTCGAAAGAAAAACGACAAATCTAGATTGCGTTTTACGAAGCTACATAGCGTAAAACTGAACGATATCGTGGGGGCCGGGGTTCAGTATATAAAACAACACGCGGGTCTTGTCTGTGAGCGGCATATGCAGCCATTGGGGCCTTTGAAAGAAAAAGAAATTCAAGATGAACCTTGGCATTCACGAGAGAATAAATAACGTTTACTCATGAAGTCTGTTTAATCTTGTCGCCCAATTAAGGACTTAGTGACATCTTCTTCGACTCGCGAAATTGTCCGTGTTCCTGGACGACTTGGCCTCGGATGTCGCGCCACACTGCCAGAATAAGAGAGTGAATCAGCGACGCTATAGTGCACGGAAAAAAACAAAGTACCAGTTGTCGCGAGACATGTTAAGGGTAGGTGAGACGCCTGCAAAGTCCGCTGCATTGTGAGAGTAGCAAGAGCGGCATCATACTGGATATGCGACAATGACGTAGATTTCATGAGCAGCAGAAGAAGTGTGAAGCCAGACATAGAATGTTTTATTCTCCTCATCTATGACGATCCTTTCGCGGGGGTAACGACCGGACCATTTATGCATTTTGTTGCATGCTGGAACGAAGTGTTAGTAAGTACTGGGATTGACTTGGAAGTAGTAGAAATTACCTCTTGGAGAATATGAGATGCTTTTCTCTTTTCAACTATTTTCTGGGAGACACCGTCAACGAATACATAATAAATGGTGGTCAGAAAACGTGTACCGTGAGAAGCACTTTTTCGTTCCCCAAAGACTTGAGGTGTCGTTACGAGGCTAGCTCCTTCGCCTGCCTTAGTAGGTAGACTTTATTATCAATGAACGCATCGTACAGCAATAGAGGAAGAATGGGCTCGTATTGACGATGATGCGGGTTCTGTGGGTCGTAAATGAAAAGGCAGTCCTACTGTTCACTGAAGGAGAATGGATATGAGAAAACGGTTAGAAAACCAGTGACAAGGAAGAACATACGACGTAAAATGACCTAGACATGTTTTCTAAAACTGATTTCAGCACCGGTGAAAAAATAAAAATGAACTCGCTCACATTGCGGCACAGGTACAACCTGTACATTAGATTGTAAGAGGCGTTGCCAACGGAACGCCCTCAGCTCTAACGGCGATCAGAGACAAAGTTGATTGACTTATAAGTATGGTCGCCGATCCAACAAGGGGAAGACGCAGAATTAAAGAAATAATCGATAAAGGCGGCTTCACTCGGGTTCCAAGTTGGTAGAGATGGCGACGTGTATGTGGAGGAAGGTGGTCCTGGCACGAGTTCAACATTGGTGCCCATGTTGGTTCAGTATCGCTTTGAACTTCCTTGATACACATCTGAGGACAACTAACTCAAGCTGCAAGCACCATGCAAATATCTGAAGCCATGAATGGGATAAAGATAAAATTTCGTACCTCAAGGACCTGCTCAAGAGACAGCCGTGGATAGGAAATACTCATTTCATGGTATGTATCTACTAGAATTCGACATTGCGTGGAGAGGTGGTCGCAGTATAGGAAGAAGGAAGAGATACCTGATGGTAAGAAATGAAGCGGTAATGCTGCCGTTCAATTGCCGTTAGGCGGAGTTCTAATTCCCAGCCCTACCTCCGAGTCGGCACTTTTTAATGAGTCCTATATGTTACATATAATGACGCGGCATCTACCTGAGTATATGGGCGACTCTAAACTTTATTCTAGCTCATTTATCTTCCATATACGGCTTTGTATGGGTCCAAACTGGTTCTTAGTATGAAATACCCGAGCTAGCGCGTCTTTTTTGGCTCTTATCTTCTCTCAGCATCATCCACAAACCATGACCAATACTTTTACCACTGCAATATCCCCCGCGTCACAATGTCCGCACCCTTCATGTTGGCCCAAGAGCTCGCTCCAGTCCTACAGCAAATTTCGGCACTCGATATCTTCCTCAGACGCGGCATGCGGCATGTGCGAAGGAGCAGGACACGGTCCTTGCACCTTGCACCTTAGGAGCGACTCCAGCGAGAGTATACGCTCATCACAAGACCTCATAAATTATACTAAGTGCCTGGACCGTGTTATTATTTTTACCTGTCGCTAATTTACCGATTTCTAGGTCACCTCTCACCTGAATTCATTGCTGAAAGGTTTTCCAAACACCTCCCTAAGTCCTCCCGGTCCTCTCAAGGCGTGTTTATATCCGTCTTACTTTGCCTAATCATGTTAACGCCTATTATTTCTACTACTACAGCATCGGAGTCGACTTCGGCACTCAGCATCTACTCCATCAGAAAGCGCAAAATCTGTATCTCAGGCTCTAGCTGAACAATCGTCTGCCGGTATGTTTGCCTATATTCTCCATATATCAGTCTCAACAAGCGTATCTTTCACGGTTGTAGATACCCCGCCATTAGAAAATAGACAGCTTGAAAGGAACAAGTCGATCGGTAAGTTGACCTCAATCCTCTGTAGCATCTCTTCCTGACAATCGCATCTTCTCAGTGGTGTTAAAGAAGTGCAGAAGAATACCGACCCACGAGAACGGAGTGTGCCAGCCTTCGAAGAGGATGTAAACTGTAGCATTACTGGGACCCACCGATTTAGACATGTCTCATATCATCCCAGCCGCCTGTCCAAAAATCAAAACTGTTGAGGTGCCGACTCAATGATCCTAGGCTAGAAACGGTAGCCCGCCTCCGCTTGGTGGCCATCCTTTGGAAGTCGCGTATCCTAGTTGGCCATGGGATACGTGGGTGTCGCATTAGCTTTGGTGAGATGCGACATTTCGATTAGAAGCCTCGCTTCCGATCGGCCTTCAGACGAGCTGCATCTCAACGATGAACCTGGCAACAGGTGATTCGCCCGTGCAGTGTACCAGGATGTGTTCGTCGGGGGCTACTTTCATTTTGCTTATTGGCAGTGAAATTTCCGTCCCGTACACAACATAGCCTATGTAACATTTTTCTTCGTAGCAGTGTCTTCCGTCGAGTCGTTCCTGCAGACATTCAAATCCATATGGCGAAGATGGGCTAAAGCGTCAAGCGCAAAGAAAAATGGATAATTACAACGTCCGTAAGGCGGTTGTAATCGACTCAGAGCTATCCGGACTAAGCGACGTAGCACAATTTCAGTGTAAGGGATACGGATTATTTACGGACCGGTTAGAGGTTAGAAACCCGGTCTACGTCATTTCTTTTTTCCTGTTTACCTAGTATGCCTTCGGACAGCTACGTATGCACTATCTTCGTTAGAGATAATTTTCGGTATAACCGTCACGATATTCGCAAAGGTAAGCATTTGAGAGATCTTTGTGTATGAAAAATCTCGGATTGACTTTTCCTGTCAGGGTCGATTGTGAGTCAGGATGAAAGAAGCCAAGGATGGGGCGCTGTTATGAATAGCCACTCGGCGTCTTTTTTTGCCTTAGAGGTGAGTTCGCTCATGATCATATATTTGTCTCGTTCACGTAAGCGTGGAATTTCGATGCTGGTTTTCATCTTTCCTTGAGTGTTCTTCCTTATTTTACTATCTGTACGTTATCTGGGTCTCCACTTTACGACTCGTGCTTTCTCATGCCAGATACTGCTCAACGATGCCGTCTATTGGTTCCCTTGCCGCTCTATATCAGTGTCCAGTGGTTGGCGCAGCCATTGAACCTCATGAGTCATGGGAAGAGCGTGACGCGTCATATGGTGCTAAACGGCTTTTTGAAGATCCTTAACGGAGGTCCGATTCTTGGACGGAATAGGAACGATTACGATTAACACCAAGCTTGACAATCCAGCGTCACCGAAAGCACTAACATTCTGAGCTTTCATATATGAGCGTCACGTACAAGGAACACTGAACAATCAAAACGACCTTTAGGACTGATTTCGGGGAGGAGGAAACACGCGGAGCAGGAAGCATCAATCTTTCTGGCGGTCCTTCGGAACACTCCACGCTCTCACAGAATCGTGAATACTTATAGTCGCATTCCTCGTCTCACTAGTTCTCTTATCCCCCGAGGTGCCACTACGATGACCATTCAAGTTAAACACTACGTTCCGCCGCCCGTCACCAAAGAGTCATGTACGTACATAATATACTAACCAAAAAGTACTTACATCCTGCAGTGGACTATGCGGACCTTCCGATAATTGACCTATCCAAGAACCCGCGTCCCGAAGAAGTGCGAGAAGCTATGCAGACACATGGATTTTTCTATGTAATTGGACATGGTCTATCCATTGCCGAGGTACGTGGTCTCTTCTACGTGTTTCTGTACCTCACTAACTGCCGTCTTCCGGTAGAACCAGAGAATCTTTGATATTGCTGATATTCCGTTCACTGATGTCAGTGATAGCGAAAAGCAGCAGTACGAGGCGAAAATCATACAGACAGGGTCCTACCAGGGGTATAAACACCGGCAGTATTGGGTATGTCTAACCGTGTCTACATTTGGACTTTTGGGAATGTTGACTTTCCTAGCACATCGACAACGGCGTGAATGATGAAATTGAGCGTTACAGCAGTAAGATTGGTTGGTCCTTGTTCGCAGTATGCTCATTTGAAATATTTCAGTTCACCGGGATGTCACCATGCGACAGCACCCCAAAGGCCTACGCCCGTATCTCGAAGAAATCGAATCATTTATGAAGCATAACCACTTCAATGTTCTTCATCCTATTTTGCGGTTGGATTCCCTTTTTTCACATTGCCCATCTTTCTTATTTCATAACACAGACTCCTCGCATTAGGTTTAGGCCTCCCAGAAAATGCCCTCGTGGATATTCACGGATACTCCTCTGTCGGGGAAACATCTTGTAAGAGTTCTATTTGTTTAATGCCCGCGGATCGCTCAGCATGTCAACTAGTGAGGTTTATGAAGTAGTTGAGTCTCCGATGTCCCATAATTCGTCTCAAATTTCGCTGATCGGGTATAAGTTACCCCCACTCATCCGAGGACAACAAAAAGACGAAGAATGTTTGGCTTAAAGGGCACACCGGTATATCTAGTGCCATGTTACCATTACATCCAACTGATATCTGTAGATACTGGTTCAATAACCATCCTGTACAGTCAGCCCGTATCCGCATTGCAGATCCTTACACCCTCGGGTGAGTGGAAATGGGTAAAGCATATCGAGAATGCGCTGGTGAGTATAATACTACACACAATAAGATATGATTACATTACTGATCACTGAAATAGGTCATCAATGCTGGAGATGCACTCGAGTTTCTGTCGGGAGAGGTTTATCGCTCTACGATTCATCGGTACGTCGATGTACTGTGTCTTGACACCTGAGTATTGACCTGCCACCAGGGTCGTTCAACCTCCCATGGATCAGAGGGGGTGCCAACGCCTTGGAGTATTCTATGTCTCTATGACAGACGATAACGTTAAACTCCTTCCATTGATTGGCACCAAAACACCGAGTCGACGGTTTGTAAATGTGGACGCTCCGACCATGGAGGAGTGGCGAAAGGGGAGAGCGGCAGCGTATGGAAAGACGCAGCTGAGGAAGGTAGACGGAGACGAGAGAGTTGAAGAGGAAGTTGTCGCCGGGGTTGTGACGAAGCATTATAACTAATAAGAGTTACGCATAGTTCAAAAGGCTGTCAAAAACGTAAAGTCACGTAGTGGATTATGCTCCAAATTTATCAGCCTTTTCTTCTGTCTACCTCAGGAATTGCTTTAATTGCTAGGCATGCCGATTATGTACTTGATATGAGCTGAGCACTAAGGTGTAGTGACCCAAGGAACCTGTAGCGGACTGAGTTGAGGTCAACGTCTTCGGGCCAGAGAAGACATCGTAAGTTACTGCGCATAAAGAGTTAGGCTGTGAGCAGCTTTTATTCTGAGCTTTGAAGTCCTGAAATACGAATAAAAAGTGACCCTAGTCGGCAAAAGGAATTCATCCCTGTACACTGCTCGAACGAATCATCACCTGTTGCCAGGTTCATCGTCGAGGAGCAGGACTCTGGCAGCCGACTGGAAGTGAGGTCATCACTTGCGGTCGAAATGTCGCATCTCACCGAGGCCAATACGACACCCCCCATATCCCATTTGGCCCTGGGATACAGTGGCTTCCATAAGATGGTTACCACGAGGACGCGGGCCACTGTTTCTAATACAGTATCTCTGGGTCTGCACCTTCACAATTTTGATTTTTTTCGCAGCTGGCTGGGATGGTCTGAGACAGTCTCAGATAGGCCCGGACAAGTTTTAGTTATTAGCGGCTTTATTGAAGTCGGAGTATACATTCTGCCGAGAGGTATGGGTACCATATGGACGCTATTAGTGAGTACGGTCTGTGTATCTCCAGCGTTGCAACACTCTCGGGCCTTGTACTTCGGGCGTCAAAGAAGGGATTTCTTCCTTTTTCCTCCCAGTCGACCTGTTTACACTGATCAATGGATATCAGGGTTCGACAGGTGTATACGCATACACATACTTTCCTTTATTATGTATTCCTCTTCAAAGCGAGAGCATGATATTTGTGTCCACACTGACATCGGTGAACGTAGTGTCAATTTTGGATAAAGGTACTCCTGAATGATGCCCAGCTCGACGGACGCTTGTGCATTGTGTCAGAGCAAAAATACCACCCGCATGATGCCGTCCTCGTTTTCAGGGCCTCAATGTAACATTCGAGCTCGATATTCAGTGTGCCGTGCAAGGCATGGAGCCATAGGGAGGGCAGAGGATGAGATTGAGCTATAGAAAAGTCAGTGGTGGTGGACTCTGTCGACGAACAGAAAGGACTTACCCTCCCCATGCGCACCTCCCTCTCACGTCATCTCACTCATAATACCGCCCTACTCCAGACCTTGCTCGCCGGATGATGATGCGTCGTCTCAATGCAAAAAAGGTCTCTCGTGCTAGGAGCGTGCACAGGCATGCGTCAAAGGAAAAGATCTGGAGCACGCAAAGAAGAGGTCAGAGTGGAAATCACAGATGAAATGGGAATGGCTTACCTTGACCCGAAATCCTCCTGCTGTCTTCATCCACTGCTCCCATCCACCACATCTCTGCCTTCACACAGGTCTTGCTTGTCGGATGGCCATCCGTCGTCTCAGAGCAAAACATGACCTTTGCACACACCATGCTCGCCGGATGATGATACGGCATCTCGAGCCAAAATTCTCCCTGATTCTGATGCTTCGACTAGTGCGACACCTTGTCGGCATGACGCTTGAGGTAGTCGCCTGATAGGAAATGCCTACAAAGATGTGAGTGTTGCAGATGGTGAAGAAACAATGGACCTACAATTTCTGGTGCATCAGCCGCCATCCTCAACTCACCCATATCTCCCATATTCCCTCTACCACCCCCATATGCCTGGCCTTGCTCGCCGGACGATGACATATCGTCTCAGGCCAAGATTCCGTCCAATCATTACCTCGGAACGTCGTCAAAGGCTGGGTGAGTGGTCGTCGCTCGGAGGATAGTGTCGCGGAGCTGATTGGGCTATGGGTGAGTAACCATCTGCATTGGTCAACTACGAGTACTTACTATCCTCTGCATACCTGCTACCATCCACCCTCCCCCAGATCCGCTGTCTCTTTACCTCATCCACAGCGTCCTCTTGGCCTTGCTTGCCGGACACCTAGACGTTGCCTCAACGCAAAATACTGATTTTCCAGGTGAAGAACCCTGCTCCTGAGAGTGGATGAAGCACGCGTTAGTCGGAGTCCCTGCCAAGAGAGGAAGGAATCTCGCGTCAATCGAGGGAGTCGATCTCCCGGTCCGCCGTTTGCAATTCGGACTCTGAGGTTCCGGGCGTCCCCCACATTAACGAGCGACTGGTATCATTACGTTGAAAGGCTACCGTGCTACGACGAAGGAGAGTTGTCGAAAGGCTTTCGCGCTATGATACTCTCGCATCTTTTCCATCAAAAAGCTACCGCGCTACGACTCCCCCTCGCTTGTTGCCGACAGCATTTGCACTGTCCGTGACTGGAGTGTTTATGCGCGGCCTCCAAAAAATATTATTGAGAAAAACATCAGCCTACCGCCGAGGCCGTGAGGGAGTACTCATGACGGGGCTTTACCATAGCGGCAGAGCGTAGGACTGGTTCGGTACCATAGCAGCGTTGTTCCTCGAGTTGTTAGTGTACATTAATCCGCTAGCTTAGTGTTATGTGTACATATGGGGGGCTGTAGTATGGTCCCCGGCACACTTCTGTTGAGGAGCACCGTTGGGTAATAAAACTTCCTTCCTTCCTTCCTTCCATGGAGAATCAGTACCCCTAAACATGCGCGAGATGTAAGAGGACCTACTACTCTCCCAATGTGCTGCTTTATCCATCCCCGAGTCTCCCAACCCTCCACACATCCGTAATCCCGCTCCCCGGACAACGATACGCTGTCTCTGGGCAAAATCGGTCCTTCCAACTTGAAGGCATGCTCGTCTTCGACTGGCGTAGTCGACAATTTGGGTGTACAATCATAGTGGGAGTCTTGGAAGTGTGGAGAGAAGGCGATAGAGGTCATGCTGTAGAGGGGAGGTAGTTAATGAGATGTATTACCGATGCAGAAGTAGACTCACTTTCAATCTGCAGAAGTCCTCCATGCCCCACACTGTTGAAGTCCTCCTAGTCAGAGTTCGCTCACTGTGGGGCTAATTTCTTCAGGGATTTTGTGTTCATCTTGAGCTTGTGAGAGGTCGAAAAAGCCAGCTAAATCAAAGGTGAAGATCATCTAAAGTATCAAGGCACAATTGACTCACGTTATTTTGAACTATCAATTGACAGCTTGAGAATGCTTCAAAAACATCTTGAAGGCTCGTAGATGCAGCAGAGGGATGAGGAGAACAATAGAAAAAAAATGCATGATGATGAGAGAAGAAAAGGACAAGTCCGACTTGCTGGCGGCAAAACAAAAAGAATGAAGAGCATGCAGGAAGACGTGGTCAGAAGGAAGTGGGACAGAATAGGAAAATTCGCACGTTAAGCTGAAGGTACATAGGAGACAACCGGAGAAAGCTGGCGGAAGGATGCAGGAGTGAATAGAAAACCTCCCACGCTAAGCTGGGGCCAAGTAGGTCGGCAAACACCGTGATGGATTGATTCCCCAAATAGATTCATTGGCAAGGTCAAGCAACGAGGTGAATAGTAAGCATATAACTACTAGGTGACATGTGCCATCCTTCTTCAAGAAACCATCCTTTTCATTTTATGCTTGACATTCGGAAGAGATGTATCAATCAATTGCCAGATCAGTTGAAGTCTTGAAGAGACGTCTATGTGATCGGGATATGGGTCCTATGTGGATCCAATCTTCCTCCACGGCATCAAACGCCAAGATCGGTGCTGAGATCGAAGAAAATTGAGTTTTACCTAGCAAGTGTAAGGAGCTCGCCGTATGGATAAAAATTGAGCTGCAGTGAGCCCATTAGGTAGACGTCTTCCATAGCAACAGTATTCAATGTTTTCGGTAGTGAGTGGGTACTAGACACAACGTGAGTGCTCAGAACACATTCTGAGTCCTGTGTATACAGGTCCTGGTCTTATGCTGTCCTGAGGGTTTCGGTGGCTGGTGCAATTTCATTAAGTCCGAGATTTCTCCGTGTACTGGTCATTTGCATTACGTGTTTATTCGGCTCAGCCTTCGGCATGGTATCCGATGGCATTAGCCGGTTTGCAAAACTGCATCACTATTTTGGGTTTTCCATCCATTTCACTGGGTGTCGGAGGTCCCAAAAGGAGAAAAAGAATAAAAAAAGAAAGATTTCGCGTACCAAAATGGGCAACCACCGATGTTTGTTTGTTCATGTTATATTTAAAAGACAACACTGATCGCCATTCATTTGCCTCACTCTCTGCCTCGACATACACTAATTCAAGCCCGGGGGGCCATGCATTTTTTCCCTCCATCGATGCCCCAACATTCATCCAGTCTCCTGCACCATCGGCAAGGTACAGTGCATGCAATCTGACACCGCAAAATGTCATTACCTCCAGGGCAAGTCTCATTGTGGCAGCGTCAACAGCTATGGATATTACGGCGTTTCCTCTCCTCTGTGGGTACGGTACATCTTCTCTTGCTCTCTCTTTCCGTGTCCATGTGCTGATGGCTGCTGGAACTGCCGTTTCTAACAACTATGGACAGGGAATCCGATTGAGGCTTGCCTAGTGGCTGATTTTGGGCCGGTTCAGTACGGGATGCAGGAATTGGATGAGGACTTGTAGGAAGCTCATCAAATGTAGCAGGGATAGGTGCAGGGGACGGAGTGGATCGAGGTGCACCGCTGCTTGTGGGATGGGTGGATATCAGTGTATCAGTAAATCAGGAAGAATGCGAAGCAGCAGAAGCCGTCGAAATTGACAAATTCAGAGGGAGTGACTGTTCTGAATCTATTTCAACCACACCTTGACTTGGATGAGTGAACAACACATCTCCAGCCAAATAATCTGGGAATGGAAGATCTGCAGCTGCAAATACTTCACCACTGCGACATACTTCTTCAAGCCCATCAGACATCAAGTCCACCATTGCTCGGATATTGTTTGCTTTTTCCCATGATTTTGAATATGCAGCCAGGACCTTTGGAGAGACATAAACACGCTCAGTTCCATCTGCTGTCCAGTTCCATTCCTGAGCAAATGCTTCATAATCAACTCTGCCTTTGCCATCAGCACTTGCATTCACAGAGAAAATGCATATCTGAGCAGAGAAGTAGTGGCAAGCTTCTTGAGTGGTTGGAGGAAGAACAGGCAGAGCTAAGCCCTGTTGCTGTCGCAGCCAGTTGTTACTCACGTTGAGTTTATATGCCTTGGCAGACCTTGTGCGAGTCGTCAATAGCCAGCTGGTCTGGTTCAAATAAAAATGTATGCTGGTTGGCATCAGCTTCATCCCGTTCAATGGCTTTATTCAGCATGGCGGTAAGATAGCGTTCACCAGGAATGAAGCCACCATAGCCATCTACATCACTGAAATTTCTGATCAAAGGGACTTTCATAGAGGCGTCAAAGTAATTGCGCAAATCAGCATTGGCTGATTCTCGAGTCTGAAGCCACTCGAAGATTGACTCTAAATACTGGAGCTGTATTACATTGAATCGACGGGTGTGCATTTTGAACAGTAGTGAGTGAACATGGATGGTCCCATCTTATGCCAATTGCCAACATGGAGAGTCCTGACAATGTTGCATGACAGGCCTATTTTGTGGGAGAGCACAGCAGGAAAAGCCATACACACATATGGGGGTAATGAGTTTAGAGGATGCTGGCTCCACCCATGAAAATGTGAGCGGCAGTCCTGCCAGCAATAATATGCCCATGCGATGATGTAGAATGAATCTTCAAGGTCTATGACATGACGAGGTGGCAGTGCACCATTCTTTTCAAGTGGTTTTCTGCATTGGGGACAAGATAATACATCGACAAAGAAATGTACAAGCCAAAGCAAGACATGTAGGCAGAAGAGAAGAGTGGGCTCAAACCGGTGCACAGAGAGAGACATGACAGGTTCCAGAGAACGGATCCAGAGCATTGGCGGGGCATAAGGTTTAGACTCTGTGAATGTTGGCAGTGCAAGTAGGATCTTGCTGCCATTTTTATTGTGGATAAGCGGGTGTATAACTGTAGCAAAGTACTGGTACAGCCAGTCTTGCATATATTTTGGCTTATCGAACCACACTAGTGAAAAACGTCTCAATTTTTTTACAAGGAAACTTCGAAGGTGTGACATACCTCCAGGCATCAGGAAAAACGGAAAACCTCTGTAGACCCCTGCCAAATCTCTGTAGGATCGGTAGTGTCAGTACCTTATGTACCTTGCCGGGATTGATCTCCGTATTTGTCTATAGTCATATGACATCAGGTCTTAAAGGTATATATTAATACTTCGCAGTATAAATTAACCTTCATATCTTTAGCCATTTTAAACCAGATTTCTATGAATTTCATGCAGTATAACATTATCGAGCACCAGGAGCCGGATGAAGGCTTTCGTATGACCTCATCACCGGTTAGGATGTTCATTCAGAACCGGTGATGACATCATTACCAGTCTCTTGCCCAAAACACGTGAATTGTCCCATGCCATGTACTCCATATTTGGCCTGTTCTTTGTCTTCGCGATGCCTTTATCTTGATCCAGGGTCAATCACCGTTTTCTTCCATGCAACCAACAGCCACGACACAAGAAAATGTCCGATATGAAGGAGAAGGAGGGAAAAGGCCCAAGGTGCGTGTACTATCCATTACCTCTGGTGTTAAAGCTGATTCTATTATTAGCCCCCATGGTTTTCAAGTGCTAGCGGGCACTGTTTCACGCCAGACAGTCGCTGGATTCCAGAGCGGGCCATTCTGCCAGCCTATCGACATCACCTACCCCTTACCACCCTCGTCAGGTGAACGTCTTGCCTTTCCAAACCCGCCAAATACGCCGTGCACTCTGCCTGACCTCGATTCGCCCACCATCATGTTTGCACCGCGTTTCCGTGATGATGCCTTTGAGGCTGCCCTTTACCCCCCACCCATGGTCACCCGTTTTATGCTTAACTGGCTTGCCGAAGTGTCGAAGGTACTGATGGACACCCTGGTCAGTGCTTGCCGCAGTCGTTTCTCCGACATTGAGACGACTACGTTGCGTATGCATCTCTTCAATGCTCACCTCGTACTCCACTATGTACAGGATTGTTAGCGACCGATATAACAAACAAGATCAAACAACTAAGCATGACTCGCACTTCGGTCAGGCGCTTTATGTTGTCCGCAGGTTTGCGTTAAGGGAGCTATCGCTTAGTTGAGCGAGAGTGAGTTCAGACTAAGTTATCGGGTGAATAAACTTTAGTTCGAGACTGAGGTTTAAGACCTGCAGTCGAGCTACTTAAATACAGTTTGGGTCGTGCTAAATATACTACAAGTGTCTGCAACGGTGCGTTAAACACGCGAGACCCGCATGGCGAATGCGATCAAGTCCGGAAAACTAGCATAGCAGGATTACGATGAAGGTGATAAGATAAGATAAAGCGTGAAATCATAATATTACCCCCCTGTTAAGGCAGTCGTCCCGACTGCACAATAACTTGATTTCGGAAGGTAGGCTCCTACGAGAGAGGGTGCATTTGGTTTTACCAGGTATTCTTGAATTGCCTGAACCAATGGGTGGTCGGTTTCTGATTCGGTTACCGATTCATGTTCGGACCAAGAGTCGGATTCGTCTTCGTTTTCCCACCACTCCGCTGGAGGTCGGGTGATGAATGAGACTTGTTCAAAGTCTTCGATGGCGTCTCTCGCGTTGTCTAGGTCCTGTTCATCTACCCAAGAGTTTTCCTCCCGGGGATACCCTTTCCATTTGACGAGGTATTCGATTCCCGTGCCGCGTCTTCGTCCTCTTCCCCTTGATCTTTCTCTCCTGTCTACTATTTCCTCTACTTCGTATTGTTCCTGTCCGTCTATAAGATCGGGTGGTGGCGGTGATGGCTGTATTTGGATTGGGAACTCTGGCGGTCGGTATGGAGTGAGGAGGTTCTCATTAAAGCGGTCGTGAATTTTCCACGCGGGGGGAAGTCGTAATTTGTATGCGGACGTGCCATGTTTGGAGATTACTTCAAAGGGTCCCACGCGCTTGTCCCCTAGCTTCTTCATCGGTCGAGGAAGGGATAGGTTCGTGGAGTCTAACCATACTTTGTCCCCTGGTTGGTACTCTATTGCCGCCCGTTGGTGCTTGTCATATTGTCGCTTCATAGTTTCCGCCGCCTTCTCTAGTGCTTTTGTTGTCTGTTCATGGATCTTCTGTATGTCGGCCACGAATTCCCTGGCTGCTGGATTTGTTCCTTCTTTAACCGTGAGCGGAACCAGATGTGGTCTTTGTCCATGGTTGAT